TGGGGTCCTTTCCCTCCTTCAGTATGACCGTCACCGTCGCGTGTAAAGAATCTGCTGGGAACCCACCACCCTCCAATAGGGAGTTAAAGCCCTGTAGCAAGTGTGGTAACAGTGTGTCTCTAAACTTGCGCAAGTAGGAGACCGGTAGGCCGTCTGGGCCCGGGGCCTTGTTGGATTTGGACTGTTTAAGGGCGGCAATGAGTTCTTCCTCCGTGATAGGCTGGTCCAATTCCTCAGCCAGATCTTCCGGGACCCTACGCCCAACGTACTCCAAGAGGAAGTCATTCATCCGTTGCAGGCGTTGTGATGACTCCGCGCGTTGTGCGGTGGCGTCAATATTATAAAGCTCTGAGTAAAAGAGCCTGAATGTCTGAAGGATGTCTGCTGGAGTCCTTTTCGTCACCCCATCCCTCCCTGTAATCTGGTGGATGTGATGTTGTTGCTGCCTCTGTTGCAAAGTGCGGGCAAGTGTTCTTCCACACTTGTTGGAAAATTCATAAAAATGCCTGTTGGACTTTCGAATGGTATGCAGCAGTTTCTGAGAGAGCAGGTCTTTGAGTTGCCTGCGCTTGTCGGTGAGGAGGCGATAGGCGTCGTCCGTTTGATCTTGCTTGTGCAGCGTCTCCAGGTCAGCTATCGCGTGTATCAGGTCTTGGATCTTTGCGGTATGTTCCTTTTTCCGTTGCGTGCATAACTTGATGAACTGGCCCCGAATCACGCATTTGTGCGCTTCCCATACCGTCAGAGGAGCCATGTCTGGGCTGCTGTTTTCAGCAAAGTATTGGGTCAGTGTTTGTGCGATCTGTGTGGTAAAATCAGCGTCCATCAGGACACTTTCATTGTCTCCATTGCCTCTCCCGTGGCTTGAAAAGCGGCGATTTAAGCGTGACATTGTAACAGAACTATGATTATGCCTGTATTTTTGCCTGAACTTAATCAACAATGCTGCTGGAGGGGTTAAACAAAACCGAATGGCTGGTGTTCGTGTGACTATTGCTACTATAACATACAACCCAAAATACCGAACATAAGACCACCCAGGGGAACAGTTAAGTGCTATTTTACCTCCCAGTGATTGTGGAGCCGTTCGCATGGTTCAGACGAATCCCTTTGTGCTCAGGTTAGATGGCCGCCATTTCGGGACTTTACACGTGTTCGCGGCCATCTTACGCACGAACGGCGGTGTTTGCCTGTGAACGCATGGAACTAAAAACGGATACGCAAACAGGCGAACACCGCTGAGACCTCCAGGAGCTCGTAAGTTCGTGCTGAAACTACCGAACGACCGGCTGTTCGGTAGTTTTGTTTAAGCATTCATGGGGATTCAGGCGAACACCAGGATTACTGTGGATGGCAAGGGGTTCGTGGGGTTTTTATGCACGAACGGAGACCGACCACAAGGAGACCGACCCAAGTACCCCTCACCAGCTGGGTAGCCGTTACAGACATGGACAGGGGCATGGTCTGAGTCGTGTTGTTGGGGGGGGTGGTAAGATGGGGGGCCCCGAGCAGCCATGGGGGACCCGGGGCCTCAAACGGGAGAAGGGGGAGGTAGGAAGGGAAAAGAGGAGGAGAGAAGAAAAAAAAAGGGGGGGGGATGGAGGGGGGTAAGATGGGGGGCGAGTTGGAAACTGTGTCCGTCGGGGGTGTCAGCCCACTAAGGGCTACGAAACAGTGGGCAACTGTGGCCCTAGGTCTTGTAGGGGAGACCTAATATACAGGGGGGCCAGTTGCTAGGGGGCGAGGAAGTCCGGTTGGTGGAATCCGTCAGGAGGACCGGTATCCGCTCTCCCCCGGCCCACGGAGAGGGGCACCGAATAAGTCTGCTTCTTACTATGAGAGTGGGTTGCCGCTTAAGGGGAGGTCAGAATGGGCATCTTGCGGGTGCCGGTCGGGACTCACAGAGGGGTCAGTCGCCCTGGTCACTGGCAACCTGCGCCTTGTGTGAGTGGCGCGGGGTGGGGGCATCGTGGGGGGTCCCACTTCTGTCCTGTGGTCACATCTAGGGTGGGGTCACCCTCCCGGATCCCATGCATCAAAGTAAGGGCCTATCCGTCCAGTTGTGAGCTGTCGGTGGCTGCATATGCGGTTCACAGGTCTAATGTGAGAGGGAGAGACCAGTCCCAGTTAGTTTGTCCCCAGGTGCAAGCAACCCGTCTCCGCACCCGGGCAGGGTAAGTCGTGGTATTGCTAGGCTCATGTCCGGTGGGAGGCTGGATAGAGTAACGGGGTCTGGTTGGCGTCAGGGACTCGGGTCGTTTGTCACACTCCTGTAGCCGAGAGAAGCTGGGGTACCTAGGCGTCCGCATGTCCCGTCAGCAGCTGGGGGAGGTCTAAACAGGGGGGTACTATCAGCCATTGCTAACCTAACATTGTGGCTTATAACCTAACCGAGACAACAATATGTACAAGGAGTGGGGGGAGAGGGTCCACTGCTCTAAGACCGTGTCCGAGACCCATCTCAGTCCGGGCATAGGGCTCTGCACAGCCCGTGGCGCTCTGTTGAGAGCTCTGTCCGGGAGGGCACCAGAAATAGGTAACCTGCCACTGTCTGGGAACTACTGGGGAGAAAAAAAAAACAAAAAAAACATTTTTTGCTGGCAGGACCGTGTCCAATCAGAGGCCAGGCCCCGGGACAGGGTCCGGCCAGTGTCAGAGTCAAGCAACCTGACAGGCTGGAGGCTAGGGGCCAAAGTGCTAGGGGGTCCTCATGCTGCCTCCGTGGTTGGGAGAGGTCTGAGCAGGGGGGCGTTGCCGGTCAGCGTATGTAGGACCGTATAGCGTGTATAACCTTGTAGCTGGCAAGAACGGGAGAGGGCTCCAATAGCCGGCCGGACACATATACGGCTAATTCATTCTTTACTGGCATTTAAACTCCAGTTAGTAAGAAAATGGAAAAGCAAAGAAGAGTATCTAGATATTTATTTATTTTTTATTCTTTATTTTGTGCGAGTGATCGCGTAATGGGAACATGACACATGAAACACGTCAAAACATTAACAATCAAGCATGTACAGGTGCGGGTTACTCAAGGTCTCATTTCGTTATTCCACTCATTTTTAAGTAATAGCAACTAGGATTTCCTATTATAGGCGTGGTGCGTTATGGCAGTCTACTTTCATAGAGGGGTCTAGCCTTAGGTCTCATAGTGCCTCTTTGGTCTTATTGTGTTATCGCTGTGAGGAATTAGCTTCACTGAGGCCTTCAGTGAGGTTAATAGTTAGCCTGCTAGCCTTCTTTTGCGGTAACTTTTCGCTAGGCATACTATTGCTGGAGTGGAAGGCCTGGGCCCTGGGGAATGGGCCGTGCGGGCATGGTATGCTTAGTGAAAGTGCTATGAACTTTAGGCCATTGCTCGTTGTGGAGGGGGGGGGGATTCAGGGGGGAGTATAACGTAACTGAGGTCTAGTCCGTCAGCTTACGGAGCCATTTTAGACCTTGGGGGGGGGGTATGGGTATAAAATCTGCATTATTGGCAATAGGCAGTCTTACGTTCCACCAACAGTGTGAACCGCCAACATGGGTGTCTGTAAGTCCCGCGCTCAGGTAGGTGAGG